ATAATCGAGGGCTTTTCTTCAACACTTTCCCTGGATTGCTGCTTAAGCTTCCTTAAAAGAGCTGTAACTAAAATTTAAATTTAAAAAAAGTTAGTTGACAGTAATCTGAACCATGCTAGAAAACACCACTGCTTTTATCACACATGCAGACACAGACATGAATCCATATATGTGGACGGAGAGCTAGAATTCCAATATATGTTAGAGAGTCAGACATTGAAGAGCAATATTTAAACTACTGAAGGTCTCTTGGAGTAAAAGACTTGAGACACAGAAGTCCGGGAACATGGGACTTCAAATATTTATGACACATACACACTCACACAGACAGATGTGCGTGGGCAAGGACGAGCGTGATGAGGCTGGCAGAAGTGGTTCGATCCCTCCGCAATGAGAAGGGCTCCCCAACATCAACGCGAATTCACAACAGCTTTTCCTAGTTTTTAATGACGAGTAAGGATTTACCTGCTTTTTTAAGACTTCTCAATGATGCGGAGTCCTGTTACAACACTGATCTCAAGCAAAACCTCAGGACAGAACATCTCAGAAACCCTCCTGGACACTGCTTGTCTAAAAGCACCTAAAGTACCGTGACGGCTCCTAGGCATATCTGGGTTCCCCACTGGAGTTTGTACCCTCATGTACCGTTAACAGTACAGAAAATATAAAAATGAGTCCTGCTGTGTCTGTGAAAAGATTTAGGAGAACCTAAAGCCCTCCACAGTAATTTCTCAACTGCTACAAAATTAAGATTTAGAAACTTGCCAAATTTTAATCCCCAGCTTTTCTACTTAGTAGTTACATGTAAATTTGTCAACTGGTTAATTTCCCTCAATTCTGGTTTGTTTATTCACTTTTTACATAAAAGTAAAATCTACTATAGAGGGTTATAATAGACAATCAATATAAATTCCTTACTACTGTGCCTATTATTAAATAAAAGTTTTTATCTACTAGAATGAAAGTCTGAATTTGGCAAAAATCAGCAGATTAATCCCTACCAGGTATCAAAATTAGGAAAAATATTAAACTTTAAAATAAGATTAGCAAGCCGGGGTGGGTGGCGCACAACTATAATCCCAGCACTCGGGAAGCTGAGACAGGAAGATTGCTGTGAATTCCGGGCCAGCCTGGGCTATGTATGTAGTAACTATAAGTCCAGCCCAAACGACATAGCGAGTGCTTGTCTCAACAAAAAAATGAAATAAAATAAAAAATAAGCCTAGCAAAATATGAAAAATTTACAGTGGGGGGGGATGTATGCATTAATACATGCTGATTTCCTCCTAGGCCTGACATATTCTTCATATACATATATATTAAGAGGATTTTTTTTTTACTGTTTTATAGTATACATTTTTATAAACCATTTCAAGCTCCATGTGGAATACAGAAGTAACAGGAGAATAAAAAAAGGAGGAAGACAGGGAGGGGAAGAGGAGAACAAGGACAAGGTAGGCAGGGAGAGAGGAAGAGGAGGAGGTGAAAGCATGGGCAAGATTTATTTTGTCTACTTAGGCCACATTAGGAAAAGCCCAGAAAAGAAAAGGAAAAATAGGATCTACTTTTCTTTTTTTAGCCACAAGTCTAACTATAACTCCAATATATTTTTAAAAAGCCAAAATTCAAAGAGTAATGTTTACTGACAATCTCTTGAAATAGAAGCTGAGATGCAAAGACCAGGGACAGCGACCCAGTTCCCGTTGCCCTGTGAACAAGCTTAGTGGCCAGATCAGTAATTCACAAGTCCAAATCGACATTTCAGTGCCAAATTGTTCAAGTTTCTCCCAACTTGTGAAATGATGTAGAAAAACTGGAAACTAGAGTAAATTCTTAATAAATTACACATTTTGGTTCAATTTAAAGCATAGTCTTCCTACTGTTTTTGGTTTATTAAAATGAAATATCAATTGCAGAAAAAGTAGTATTTAAATTGTTATAAACTAAAAGGCTAGCTTCCATACAGTAGGCCCCAAGTAAAATTTTTGTAGTCTGTAGAATTGTATGAATTCCGAGAACCAATGATCTAGATAACTCTTCAGAGATTCCAAGCTGTCTGCCTCTAACCTTCCTGTTTGCTACAATTTAACTCCAACATCAGTGCTAGAGTACTCAAATGTAATAGAGCACTCCTTTTCTGGTTCTTTTCCTTTAAAAGCTCAAATATCTCAAGAAATATTGTTTCAATATACTTTGCCTTTGAGTTGAGACTGACGCGCTGCCTACTGCGCTAAGAGGGCTTGCCTTTGAGTTGAAATGGGCTTCTGCAGAATATAAAGAATGGAAAGAATTCAATTCCTCAACAGACAAGGTCTCTCCAAAAAAGGTAAAGCCAAATAGTTTGCGTTAAACTAAAGTGATTCATCAACTTTCTGCAACTGTGTCTGAACTACTCAGGAATACAGAATTGTGCACGCTGCGCACACATCATCTGACAGCCGCAGCTACTGCGCGAAGTGCTCAGTAAGAGAGGCCCTGCCCCCAGGGTTTCACTTAATAAAAAAAAAGCAACACCAATACAAACTCACTTGCGGAAGCACCGCATTGTGGAAGTGAGGACACAAAATTATCAGTACTACAGGTTGATAATAAATGTAAAATTACTTTCAGGGCTTTGATATTAGGATTCATACAGAACTGAAATGCCGAATTGGTATAGAATGCAAAAACATTACAATTCATCTTTCTGTTTCTTCCTCCTCCCACTGAAGTTTTCAGTTTATCTGGGCTAAAGCTTTGGAACTGTGCTTCCCTGCTCCGAGAATCCCTGAAATCTGCGTCTTCTGCCCTCTACCTCTGCCAGGCCCGGCGTGCTTCCCGCGTCCTCCCTGCACGCAGGATCGAGACAAAGTCCCCACAAGGACAGGGACAAGGACACGGGCTCCCCAGTCGTCCGCATCCCAACTCTGCTCCATTACTGAGATCGCCATCAACACGAGAGGCCTTGGCTTCCCGACTCCTTGCGTCCGCTCTCACTGTTACGTTTCTAAGCTATCCTTCCTTAAGTCAAACTCACCTTACTTGTAACAACAACAACAAAAGTTATTTTCTGAAAAATCTTCTGTGTACTCTTACTTAGCTACGAGGCCACACCCTGCTTCGAGGGCTCTAGGCCACTGTGGGGCCGGAGCGAGATGAGGCGGAGGAGGAGGAGGGCACAGGACGGTGACCAGCACCGTCCCCTCTCAGCGCACTTCTGACTGCCAGGGCCCCCGAGGAAGCCATGTCGGGGCCACGCACTGCTCCCTGCAGCACAGCTGCACCTGCTCATGTCCGTACCTGCACACTTGCTGCCCGGCCACCCTGGGACGTCTGCTCCCCTGGCTGACTCCTCAAACACTTCAGGATTCCACTCCAATAACCGAAGTCCTTGCGCTCTTCCCCCGGCAACCGGCAAACACTCCGGGACCCCCGGCTCTCCGCCACACCGGGTGTGCAGCCGAGGACACGCCCCACTGTGTCCAGAGCACCCGGCCGTGCGGCACCTGGAACTCAGCACTCAGCGCAGGTCCCTGCCCAGGACGTCCTGACTAGCGCAGGGGTTGGCCGACCGGAAGGGTGGGGCAGGGAGTGGAGCACACAGAAGTACTGCAGTGGGGGACTGAAGGCCAGCAGAGCCGCCGCGCAGAAAGCCAGGCGGAAGGAGCAAGATGGAGGCAGAAAGCAACACCTGTCATCCCGGACCCTGTGAACCACGCTAGAGATTTTCGTCTTCATCCTAAAACAGGAAGTTTTAGGAATTTCAATAGCAAAGTGTTGTGATGAAAATAAGAAATCAAAATGTTAACAATGGCTATCTTTCGGTGAGACTTTTCCTTTTTATACTTCCCTAGTTTCCTACAATGAATGTCACTGCTGATTAAGAAAAATATTATAAAGTTTTAAAAACTCAGAAGAGCTGCTATAAAGTCCTAATATAAAACTTTTCAGCCTGTAATCCCAGTACCCTGAGGCTGAGGCAAGAGACTGTCACAAATTTGAGACCAGCCTGAGCTCCCAATGGAGTTTAAACTCAACTGGAATGAACACACAATGAGACCCTGTCTTTAAAGGCAGAAACAGGGCCAGGGATTTAGCTTAGTGATGCCGCAGCCTGCCTGGCAAGTGCAAGGGCCCGAGTTTGATAGTCAGTACCAAAAAAATAAATTAAAAAGTACACATAAAAACAAAAAATTAAAAACACTTTTCAGAAAAAAATCTGACAATCAGTAAACAGTCTCAAGTCTTCTTGGCAATTTGTTTTTCAATAACGGAGATTGTGCCATGGAACATTTACCTCTGAGCTACGGCCCAGCCCTTTCACTCTTGATTTTCAGACAGGGGCTCCTTCTGCGCCCAGCGGCCTTCCTCTCAGGAGGAACAGGGATTAGGGGCGTGTGCCACCACCTCTGGCTGCAGTTTTCACCGCCCACTGAGCGAACACTGTGCCAAGGATTGTACAAAGTGAAGAAGACAACGTATCCACGCTTGAGTTCTCAAGATACAGGGGAAGGAACAAACACTGAACACATAAGTATCTGGGCGAAGCCTGCAAAACACCTGAATCACTCTGAAGATCTGTGACAAGGAGAAAGTAACACACACAGCTCCAGGAGCCTAGGAGAGGCTTCTCTCAAATAAATATGGAAGCCAAGTAAAGTTCGTCAGTACGAGTCTGTAAAGCACAGGCTGACACAATCCCCACAGCTACCATGGGTGGGTGTACCAGGACATAAACCCCACGAGCCGCTGACTCCGAGACAGACACGGGTCAGCAGGTGTCAGTGTGGATCAGAGCCCAGGGGACCATGGAGAGACAGGGACTGAAAACAGTCTCAAGCTCCAGCCTCTGTCTCCTCCACGGTGTTGGGCCAACCACCATTCACCAGGTAAGGCTCAGCAGCAGACAAGCCGTACAATCCTAAACTTTAACTTTAAAGTAAAATTATCCTAAGTGGTCTCTAACCAACAGTTCAGCACTGATCATTCCCCAGCACCAAAACATTAACAAAATTAATGTTTCTGTCTAGTAAACATACAAAAGCTTTTGCTAATGATCTGTATTAGAATATGTTTTATCAAAAAGTAGAATTTTAAGGCCCAGAAAAATTTAATGTAATGCAACTAAATATACAAAGCCTTGAAAACTATACCACCGAAAATAATTTCAAACTGTAGAGATGATAAATGCCATTATAAATACATTTATATTAACATTTCTAAACATGTACCATCACTGGTTCAATTAATTACCCTTTAAATGAGAAGTTTAAATGATCTTTCTGCATGAGGGGAGGAAATGAAAATGTAAGCGCTGCTTAAGTGCGGACAAGTCAGTCTGATATGATTGACAATAGCACACTTCCGGCCGGGCCTCTCTCCTGTGCCTCTGTGTGAGAAAATCACTTCCAGGCCAGTGTCCAGCCACAGAGGCTTCAATCTTGCACTGAAATATCCTGTTATAGATTTTTCTACCAAAACTTTGTTTCTTAGCCTCCATGACAGCTGAATTCCTAAACAGAGACAATGCCTGTATTTTAATACACGCATATGCTTTACAAGATTCCTTTATTCTGAATCAAAGAATCTTGACAGTCACAAAATCATGTGAACCCATGTAGTTCCTTGTTCTCATAAGCGTCTCCTGAAGTCTGTCCAAAGTTTACTATCATCAACGCCTACTCATAATCCCAGCTATTCAGGAGGCTGAGATGGGAGGGTTGTGGTTCAAGTCCAGCCTGGGCACCTCGGTGAGACCCTATCTCGAAGGGGGATGGGGGGCGGTGCCTGGGCCTGCAGCTCAGCAGCAGTTCCCCTGGGTTCGAGCCCCAGCACTGGTAAACATAAATTCTCTCTCCCTCTATTTTGTTTTTAAATTATCGAAATTTGAATAGTTTGTAGGCAATGATTCTTTTTTAATAAAACTAAGCAAAAATTCTAAAAGAAAAAAAAAATTACCAAAATGTTCTCGTATCTTAGACCTAAAAACAATTCCCTTAAAAATTATCTAAAAGATTCAAGAAGCCTATAAAAATATAATGTGTTTTACACACAGATCTAAATCGTAAAGAACTATCCAAAACAGTGCAAAATGTGGTATCAAAATAAGACTAAACCAAGGACCCGAGTTCGATCCCCGGTACCAAAAAAAAAAAAAAAGACTAAACCTGTATAACATCATGGGGTGTTCAATATACATTTAATAAACCTGCGAATGTTTCTTATTTCCTTTTACAAAGCTATATTTAATTGACTGCTTTTGCTCTCAAACTATAAAGGGCTATTCCCAGAAAAACAACATTCCTATTCATCCAGATTTAAGTTTTATAAATCTTCAACCAATAGATCTACTTCACATAAAGCAGAGAGTAAAATACTTACATGTTGTGAAAAAGTACATGCTATGCCTTGAAAGTTCTCATTTAAAGACCAAACTAGACACAGTCTTGCTTCTGGCTAGCAGCAAATCCTACACCCAGCAACTACAGCAGAAAATTGTTAGATCTGTCAAGAATATGATCTGTTTTTTAAATTTTGAGATAGGGTCCCACTAATCACTAAGTTGCTTGGCTGGGCTTGAATTTATGATTCTCCTGCCTTAGCCTCCCAGAGACTAGGATTACAGGCCTGAGCTACCATGCCCAGCAACTTTTCAGAATTCAAACTGGCCAGGCATGATGGTACACATCTGTAATCCCAGCACTCAGGAGGCTGAGCCAGGAGGACCACCATGAGTTCAAGGTCAGCATGAGCTACACAATGAATTTAAGGCCAGCCTAAACTACACAGAAAGATCCTGACTCAAAAAAAAAAAAAATCAATCCATCAGTAAAAACAAAGGTCAGGTATCAACTTTTAAAAAGGCCTAGTATTAATAGGGTACAATGCAGCAAAAGGAAAAAAAAAAAAACAATGTCTTTCTAAACATGACACCACTCTTCCTGTGTACTACCCGGTGTTCAAATTCCCGAGTGAGAATTCGCCAGGGTTCACGGAGGCACTTACTCATCTGCCTGTCTCCATAGCTGATAGCTTCCGCCAGAGGGCTCCATCCCTGAGCATTTTTCACCTTCACTGGAGCATTGTGAGCCAGAAGCAAGTGGGCACATTCTGCAATGCAAAACAGTGAGGGCATCAAACAACACACAGTTCCAGAACCTCAATAAAAGTGCCACGCGGCAAGACAAATAATACATACATATATATAATATATATGTAAAATGCTGTAGTATAAATTCAAAAATTCTTATATAGCTAAGATAGGTTATTTCAGATCTCCAGATTTAGAAGCATCCATTCCACTACCTAAAAATAACCTGGATCTCTCTGGAAACAATGCATTATGTGGTCCCTCCCATGTGTCACCAAGAGCGCTCTGAGACTACTTCCACACTCTAAGATAATCTACAAACCTCGGGTAAGCTGCATCCAAATATCTGTAACCCATAAAGCACAAAAGTGGATCTGTGTGTGTGAAATATCAAGGGAAAGCTCATTATTCATTTCAGAAAAACAATGACTTCAGAAAAGATCAGCAATGTTTCCATAAACCCTGGTTTTTCACATTTTATAATTTTTATCTGGGACAACAGCCCAAAAGGGTAAAACTCTGCTTATAATGACCAAAGTAGGCAATTTTCCAAATAATCACAATTAAATATTCTATAGGGTGAGAAATTTTTTTTAAGTAAAAACCATTAACAAGCAAAAGAAAACAGACTCAAGGCAAATTTAGACAATATAATCACATACTCATTCATTCGCTCAAGCGGTCAGGAAGTACTGACCAAGTGTTTATGTCATGCCATCGCTAACTACCAAGCACCAGACATAAGCAGTGAGGCAGGAGAATAAGGTCTTACAACCAAAGAACTTATATCCTATGCTGGGAGAAAAATAAGCGAATAAAAAGGAAAACCATACAGTAAGAGCTCTGAAGGAAAAAGAGATACACAACAGTGTGTTATGCGCCAAGGGTGAGCGGGCCAGCTCTAACTGTCTCACTATTCCTAGGAAGAGAAGGAAAACCTGACTGGCAGTGATCTTTATTAGAAATAGAGTAAACTAAATTCAGAGGTTTCACAGATGTGTTTCTGGTCTGTAACGCGGCAGAACCTAAGAGTATAGATAAGGATGTTTATTTTCGTGTTGTTTGTGGTGGCAAACACACTGAAGGGAATGTTCACTGTGGACCAATCCACTGCAAAGGGGACAGCGGAGCCAGCCAGGATGGTCAGTCACTGACCAAGTCTGAGAAATTGGGAAAGAAAAAGAGCAACAGCGAACTAGTTAGAACACATTGAAAAATAAATACCTGACACTGAAAAATAAAAGGAAGGGTGTGCTGGCCACAGGGGAGCACACCAGTAACCCAGCACCCTGGGGGCTCAGCAGACAGCACAAGTTCAAGCGCAGCCTGGGCAACTCAGTGACTCAGGGAGACCCACCCGGTCTCAAAATACAAATGAAAGTTAAAATGGTCCAGGAAAACAGGCCAGGGCCAAGGCCCTGGGTGCAATCCCCATACTGCAAAGACAGAGGTGGACAGACAGAGGGTGAGGAGTACTTTGCAGAATAATGCAATGCCAGCTTCACAGATGATAAAATTGGAAAACAGGTGTCCTGCAGCATCCAACACAGTAACTCACTGGGAAGGGCTGGGGATGTAGCTCAGTGGTTCCGCTGCCTGCTCTAAAGCTCAAAGGACCCAAGTTCGATCCCCAGTACCATAAAAAAAAAAAAAGTGTAACTCACTGAAGCAAACTTCCCAACCCAGTGCTAAACCATGAGGTAAAAAGTTGTGTTATAAATAAAACTGGGTATTTACAAGGTACCAAAGTGCTGCCCCAAATTATTTACTAATTACGAAGAGAAAAATACTCCTTTACAGTGGTTGCAGCACTGGTAACGGAGCAGCATGACGCTGAAGGCTCCCAATGTGATGCGATACAAAATTCTCACCATCACCTGTGAGTGTTTTCCAGAAATGTTTAACTTAATCTCAACAAATCCCTATGGCTAATTTTCAATTTTCAGAAAAGACAAAGAACTTTAAACATCATGAGAAAATAATCAGATAAACCCAAGACGGAGAACGTTCTAAAAGTCAACCAGGTCATGAAAGTTTTAAGCACAAAGTAAAGAAAATTGGTGTACAATCTGCTCTATATGACAGGAAAGACATAACAACCCAATGCAATGAGTGAACTTCATTTGGTCATATTTTAGTACAAAAGACCTAAAAAGACCCTTTTGGGAACAGCTGCAGAAATATGAGTATGCACAGGCTATGAGTGATATATAACCATACTATTTATATTCTTTGGTGGGATGATCACAGGGTCATGAAGGAGAACGTCCTTATTCCTACCTGCTGGTGTACGTAGGGAGAAATGTCATGCCTCTGGATTTTTATTTTTGATACAGGCTTTCGCTATGTAGCCTCAGCTGGCCTGAACTCACAGGGATCCTCCAGCATCCGCCTCTCAAGTGTGCCACCCACCCAGCTAATGTCTACACCGTGTAGGTCCTAAAGAAAAAATAACACATAAAACATACAAAGATAAAAGCGTATGATCTAGTGCTACCATAATTGAGCCTGTCAGGTAAGAGGGCTCACTGAGACGGTCTTTCAATTTTTCTGTATATTTAAAGTTTCCTCTAATAAAATGTCGAATTAAAAAAAATAGAAATGTTTTGTAAATAAAAAAAAGAAAGTAATTAGAACTATTCCAAGAGATTTAAAGGACTTTTACAATGTATAAGTGATACAATGTATCTACCAAAAGCAGAAATGTATCTTCTAAATTTTTAAAGAAAAGATTAAGGAATTTATCATATGCATGAGGTGTATGCTCAGACGAATATGCACGTATTTGTACATAATGAGCATGGCTAAACAACAAGTTAGTCATCCTGTCTACGGCAGAAGCTGATTAGGAGAGGGTGATGGGCAAGCCACGCTAAAGAGAACTGAACTTTATTTTTTTTTTTAATTGAGTTTATTGGTACATTTTAGGTGTACAGTACAGTTACACTCATTATTGGGATCTTGTACCTCTACATGACAGGTAAAAAGAATTTTAAAAAGGACTGAAAAATGGACCCTCTCCCCAAAAATCTTACCGCTGGATTTGAGGGAAACATGTACATGTGTGTGCGCACATAAAGAAACCAAGGGGAGGAAAGCATGGAAGAGACCTGAGGACTTCCGGCGTATTACACAGACTTCTGAGAAGGAAAATATAGCCAAGTGCTATGTGTTGCAATTCTGCTTCAGGGAATACAAACAAAGCCCCTTTGAGAAAGGAGTAAGGTACAGAAGGAGAGCCCCAGCGTTAGTGTTGGTCACATCACAGAGGCGGTGCTCTTCTTTCTTCACACTGTGTTATTTCAGTATGTGTGCACTGATAACCAAAGAATCACTAGCAAAATTTTTACAATTTAAAACTATGAAAAGGCAGGCTCCACGAGAGCACTAACACCGATCCCCGCTGTACACGTACGGGGTTAGGAGGAGGTTTACCTGTTACTGTGCTTTCCGATAGGCCAGACCTTCAGAACAGCTGCCCGTTACTCACTGGCATAATTCAAGTGGGGCCAGATCAGACTCCGCTACGCCAAGCGCCCAGCGCATACTCACACACGAAAAACAGGACACCGGATCAAGTGAATGTCTGCTCTCAGTAATGTTAAAAACGAAGAAGAAAACCAGGGAGCTTAACTGGCAGAGGTTCAATGAATGTATAAACGTGTCAGGAAGAAGTTCAGACTTGAGGGCTACAGACAAACTCAAATTATGAACAATAAAAATCACGCATAAGGCCCGGGGGTTTAGCTCAGTGGTTCCGCCGCCTGCCTCGCAAGCGCAGGGGGCTGAGTTCAAGTCCCAGTACCAAAAAAAAAGTACAGTTTTAAGAAAGAGTTAAGTCAATAAACACGTGTAAAGTATTGAGAATAGCGTGCGGAATGTTACGAATGTTTGATGTGTTTTAGACACGTTCTATAGTTCTGGGGCGATCTCCTCTGGGGAGAAGCAGCTTGGGTTTCTAACTGATCAAATGCAGTGGGTCTGACGCGTTCTTACCAAGGAAGCTACGCTACAGCTCTCTCCCAGCTGCAGTGTTCTCCACTGAACACCTTCCTCCTACCCAGGCCCCATTCCCAGGCAGCCTAAGCAAAGCTCCTTTCACATGTGCCTGACATCACCACTTACGACTTGGCTGGAGATGAACTGGGCCAATCAAACTTTTGCTCAGAAATTTGAAAACGTAAAAACCTGGGTAAGTTTCTTAATGACAAAAGTCAGTGAGGCTTAGGCTCTTAGAATAATTCTTTCAGGTCAATTTCAATTCCAGCAAACACAAAGTCAATCAAAAGAAGCAGCCAACAGCATGGTTGTGTGTGCCTGTGATCTCAGTATTTTGGACACTGAGGCAAGAGGATCACTAGGAGTTTGAGGCCTGCCTGAAATCCATGGTGAGTTCAAGACCAGTCTGGACTACAGGCGAGACCTGATCTCAATAAACAAAACAAAACAGAATGTTGCAGACATGTGTAGAACAGCAGACACGATGTACGAGATACACAGGAAGGGGATGGCTAAATGACTGAGAAGTCCTTGGTTCCTGCTCTTTCTGAGACCTGGCTGGTCCCAATTTCTTGGATTCTCCAATGTGTAACCTTTTAATGAATGTCTGGGCTGAGGCGTACTAGGAACTGAACCCAGGGCCTTTGCACTGACCTACACATCCCCAGCTCCCCCAACCCTTTCTGAGATGGTCTTCCTAAGTCTTAAGTTACCCAGGCTGGATTTAAATTTCCAATCCTCCTGCCTCAGCCTCCCTGGGATTAGAGACATGTGCCACCATGCTGGGCAAATGAATGCCTCTCTACTGAGAAGTTATTTGAATGAGTTAATCACTTGGAAGAAAAAAGGGGGAAATGGGGAAGAGGAAAGAAGAGGAAGAGGAGGAAAGGACCACACTGTGGGAGACAGAGATATGAGTCACCAGCTGATTACACAGAACTAAAATCAAACGGAGTGTGCACAGCTCTCATACTCTACCTAAAAACCAATCGTTTTGCAAAGAGCAGGTTCTAGTTAGCACCTTGGGCTCAGCACAGTCAGAGCGAACGTTTCTGAAAACCTAAATGACGCCGGACGACCGCAAGCGATGTTTATGACACTTGTAGATCATTAGAAAGAAAAAGTTAAATTCATTAGCCCGTTTAAAAATACAGGACTAAATATTTTTTAAATTCAATCAAAGATTTGGAAGTTTAAAATCTAGGGGCCAGGGATTTAGCTCAGTGGTTCTCCCGCCTGCCTCACAAGTGCAAGGACCTGAGTTCAATCCCTGGTACCACAAAAAAAAAAAAAAGTTTAAAATCTAGCAGTCAGAGGGCTTTCACTCACCTATCTGAAACACTCACTTTTCAGAATAACTGGGAATCCAGGTAACTGAAGTTGCATTATGTATAGGAATAACACAAAGTAAATTTCTTTTTCATTTTTCTGAGACAGGGTCTCACTATGTAGTTGAGACTGGCCTTGAACTTACTAGGATCTCAAAGAGATCCTCCTGCCTCAGCCTCCTGAGTGCTGGGATAACAGGCATGCACCACCACACCAAGCTCAAAAGTAGATCTTTTAATTCACCTACCTGAATTTTTTTAAAGAACATACAAGTATCACGTTTTTACAATTTATTTACAACAGGCTCAACTAAAGACACATCAAAAATTACATTTTTAAAATCTGACAAAATCCTCACATTTAAAATATACAGTTAATCAAAATTAATATTTGGAAATCAGTCTTCTAAAATTTTAAAGATGTTTAATAAAATAATCAACTGCAAAAAACAAGTTTTAAAAGACATGAAGGTTAGAAGGGTTCCTCTAACTCTTTAAAAATACAGGCTATGGAAAATACTAATTTTAATATACTACAGCCTAAGCTCAATTACAGATAAGTTAACAAAATTTCAAACTGACTAAACAAGCACAAAATTTAACATAAAAAAGAAAATACTAACCTTTATTTCCTAACATCACAGCAAGATGTAAAGGAGTGTTTCCTAAAATTAAAAACAAAAATTAAATTAGAAAGTGTAACAACATTCGAATTTTTACTTCAAAGTGGTTTCTGTTCCTTCAGAAATTCACTGGCAAATTCAAAATCAGGGACGCCCTGGTCTCTAAGCTCCAGGAGGATATATATGCATTCTTCCTTTGCCATCTTCTCCGAACAGCTTCACATGCTATGGGCTGCTAATTTATCACATACTTCTTTGTTCCTCTGGCAAACAATTTAATATCTACTAAGCCCTGGGTATGGTCTTCATTAAGGCCCAACCCAATCCTCAAGTTTTTTAGAGCTCTTTGAGACAGGTAAGAAATAAATAGTAACTGTTACTAGAAGAGGAACAGCATGACCACAGACACCAGATACAGCTCCTCACTCTGCCGCACAGGGAAATACAACAGAATCACCACACTGAAATAAACCTTCAAGAATGAGTTAGAAAGGTGTGGAGTCACTGGAATCCCAGGACTCGGGAGGCTGAGGTAGGAGGATCACCAAGAGTTCAAGGCCAGCTTGAATTACACAGCAAGACCCTGTTTCAAAAAGAAAGAAATTATATGAAAAGAGAAGTGTGGAGAAACAAAAGCGCTATTTGTAAGGAATACAGGCTAAAGGAAAGAGAGGAAAAGGATAGGAAAGAAGAGAAAAAGAAGGGAAGGGAGAACAAAGATCCTCAATCGCATATAAATGCAGTTTGCAGACAAACAGTAAATAATGAAAATGGAAAGATGAGCAAAAGACAGTGAAGACGCTATGCCATGCGTCTCATAACAGAAGACCTCAGAGTGACCCACACCACAGACAGCCTAGACCGCTCTCAATTACATAAAAAAGGAAGAAACTGAGAATGATAATTGAAAACAACTTTGTTGAATAAATTTATGCACATTAATTCAGACAGCAGCAGTTTCACAGATTTCACCATATAAAGCAGGATGACACAGGCGCAACTACTTTTCTAAGAAACGTGTATGATCTCCCCTGTCTCACCTTGACCAAACCTTCCACAGAGAAGGCTGGCCAGCCACCTGGGAAGCAAGCCCAGGGCTGCTCTAGCCCTGAGCTATATCAGCCCTTGGTTTGGTGAGACAGGATCTCACTTAAATCGCCAGGGCTGGCTTCAAACCTGCAATCCTCCTGCCTCAGGAAGCTGCAATCCCAAGCAAGAGCCCCTGTGCCCAGCAACACACACACCTGCTCCCTGAAGGTGGGATGGAAGGACAACTGTTAGCCGTCTCTGCAAGAGGCCATTCTGAGCAGAACTTAGACAACACCAGAAATGAATTCACTAAGCTTAAAAATAAGAGGTCGGGTTAAAAAAAAAACAAAAAAAACCCGAAGTATAGTAAACCTCTCTACCTTAACACTTAGTGACACAGACAAACACAAAAAAACAAACAAAAAAAAGGTTTAGGGACATAATTCACATTACATTTTTCAAACCTATGAATTAGAAGTACAAATTTGCTGCAGTGATGAGGCCTGGATGGGATTTAGGAGTTTTCATACTTCAGAATTCTTCCTAATTGAGATATGAAAACCACAATAATGCAAATTGTTAATAACGGTACATTGAAAAATGTCTCCAGAAAAGAGAAAAATTGCTCACAATAGTAAGAAGTGAGTCTTAACTGCCTAATGATTGGAATAAGCTATGTTTTAAAAAGACAAACTTCTATTCTCCCCAAATTTCAAGTCCTTTATTAAGCTCCTCAAAATTCTATGAGGACAAAATGCTCACAAAACTTACCTGGGTAAGAATAAGAATGACAAGGTAAATGAAAAGTGCTTTTTGTTGTAGAAAAGCATTGTTGATCACTAGGGTAACATGGAATGGACGATGAAGAAAACACTTTCCTTTGTGCTATTTTCATATGCAAAGCCAGTCAGCTTCTTCCCCTCCGGCCTTACGCTGAAGCAAATTACCTATTTCCCAAAGACACTAAAGAAACTCCATGTCAGGAATTTCTGTTTCCCTTCCACGCACAGGTACAATTTCCCTATCGCTATATGTATCTACAATGTACCAATAAAGTAATGTGGAAAAAACAACCTGTAAGGTTAGGACTGACCTCAATTCTCAGTTGAAGGACAAAGTGCAGTTTTTCTACTGCTGACCAACACGTTCCCCCAAACCCGAAGTGATTGCACTTATGAACAATTTAAATCCAGTCACCCACCTGTACCACATAAGGGCCCACCTGAGGGTCAGCTCAGTAAACTACTCTAAGCCTTCAAGGCCTTCAGCACAATACAAAGGAAGAGAAAAATATCAGCGAGGATGAGTATCAATTCCCAACCTGACGGTCCAGAGGAAGGTCGTCTCCCTCCTTTACGAAATACTGAACTCAGCCTGGCACCGACACCCACTCTCAGGAGGCTGAGGCAGAAGGATCGAGCATGAAGGCTAGCGAGACTGGTCTCCACATGCAGCACACCTCCCCTCAAAACAAACTAAACTTCCTAAATAATCTGCTTTCACATTCTGTGGTAATTCACCACACAAAAATGTAATCCAGAAAGTTAAACATACGTGTCCACAAATCAAAGCCAGAAACAAAAGCTTACAATTCCCAAACGCGCGTGCTCACTAGGCGCTGTCCTGCCGCTCACGCGCCCGCGCAGGCGCAGCACCATCCTGACCCCCCACCTTCCCCGCCTCCTCGTCCTGCCCAGTTCAGTTGCTCTCTAAAGCTATACTGGAATAATTTTTAAACAACAATTGCACAATTCTATGCTCCACTGGAAAGATGAGAAAGCCCTTCTCCATTTTTCATCTTGAAGAGTCTAACAAGCTTGAGTAAACCCTTTCCTTCCTTTCTTCCCTTTTCCTTGCCTGATCTCTCCTTTAAAGTAAGTATAATAAATTCTGTACTAAGCCGGACTCCCAGCTCTTACACATCTGCTAACCCGGCCTAAACGCTCCTCCCCCACCTTCCTGACACAATACTTCCCTCTTACGGCCCAATTCAAACACCACCCCTTTGGCGATCTTTATTTCATCTCTCTCAGCACTCAGATGGCCCTCAGTTCTGACCCAAAGCCTCTTTATCCACTCATTGCAGCCTTTTACCCTAAACTGTACTGTCTCCTGTGAGCATGTCTCCTCCTGGGGCTGGAAACCTCAAGAAGACATGAATTTTCTTTATTGACCTGCAGCAAACACTTCACAGCGTCTGACGTTCGAGACGTCCCAGGGCAGCGGGCATAGAGGCGCAAGTCTGTAAGACCAGCCCTAGGAAGGCTGAGGTCCAGCTCCTCAGCAAGTCCAAGCCAGACTGGACGACACGGTTAGCAAAGCAAGCCAAGCAGCCTGAGACTGAGGAAGTAAGAACTGAAGGGCAACAACCAACCCTATCGGCCCCGAGAGTTCGGAACCCTGGTAATTGAAATGCAGTGGGCATTAGCTCGTGCAAGAGCTGTGAATTAGGTCGCCGCTCACATTTTGGTGGTTTTTGTTTTTGTGGTGCTGGGGACTGACCCCAGGGCCTTAACACTGCACTACACACTTCTTGCTTCGACTCAGGGTCCAAGTCACTGACGCTGGCCAGTCTGGGTTAGAAGTCAGGGCTCTTCCCCGTGGCACTGCCTGGGATTCAGGCGGTGGGACAGAGCTCTTGGACGCCTCTGCATCTGACTTCTATTGATTATAAAATGATCCTACAACTGTGTGTCCTGTATTCAGTCTCTTCCCTTGGAAACCTTAAGTACAACACTTGGAAGTCCTGTTACAGGTATCGCATGTTTCCCATAAACCTACTACACCCAGTCCATCTGTTATACCCTTATTTTTGTTGTAAGTAGTTGTGGTTTTTGCAATAAAAATGTTAAAATCCCCTACTATGGCTGGAGATTTGTGTGTCTTTTTGAACTCTTAGCAATTTTCACTTGATGTATTTTCAGGCCATGTTACCAAGTACCAATTTTAAATTTTGTGAGTGGTCTTGCTGAGAGGGCAATTCTCCATGATGGGGGCCAAGTAAGGGGACCACTTAAACGTTACTGGAAACCTTTGTAGTAGGCTTTAGTGTCAAGCCCTTTTCATTAGAAGGTATCCACTTTAGGGCTGGGGATTTAGCTCAGCAGTTCGGTGGCCAGCCTTGCAAGCGCAAGGACCCGAGTTCAATCCCCCGTTCCAAAAAAAAAGAAGGTATCCACTTTTACCTTTTTTTTCAGGCAGGGTCTCACTTTGTGGTTCAGGCTGGACCTGACCTTTGTAGGGCTGGTGGGCCTCAAACTCGTGGCCACCCTTCCGACTCAGCCTCCTGAGGGCTGGGATCACAGGTGTGCACCACTACACCCCACGGTTTTCCTGATTCTGATTTAAAACCTATTCCAACATTATGATTATATTTTTTGATTGGTACTGACACACAATATAGTTAGCCTTTTACTTTCAACTTTTTGTTTCAGATGTGCCTCCAATTGCATGAGGCTGGGTGTATTAACAAGACAGTACCACCTTCTTTTAACTGAAGCATTTAGTCGAGTCTTCTGTAATTGTGATACTGTGAGGACTGAATCTACCATTATACTTGTGCTCTCTGCTTGTCTTAAGGTCCTATTCACAACTTTAACTCTCTCCTAGACTATTTAATACTCCATATTGTTTCTGCATGTGTTGGATACAAAGTACGCACTGTTTATTTTCCTCTTCTTTCAGTAGCTAAAGTAGTTACATGTGGTTACCAAGAGTTCAGACAGCCTAGAGGTGTGTCTCTGGCGGCAGATGCCCAGATGCCCACCTAGCGGCCAGGCTTACCTTCAACCTTCAGCACCACAAAAGAAGGCAATCTCCAAAATGTGGCTTTCCAGACTGCCACAGCCACAAGCAGGACTCTGAAGACTTAGTATGAAAATGAAAATGTTAAGACACCTCCGGGGTATTTTACACTGATCTCGTTGGAGTATATGATGCTTTGGAGACACTGAGCTGAATAAAGCACATTATGAAACGCTGGAGATGGCGCCTGCCGAGCACGCTTGAGGGCA